ACTTATCCGGCACTTCGAGCCGAATAACTACCGCTACCTATAAGGTAGCTAATAATATTGGGAATCAAATTTGATTTTCCCAATATAATAGTTATTCGGCACGAAGTGCCGAATAACTATTAATTATTGTTTGTAATGTAACTAACAAATATTCAACTTTTTTTAACCGTGACAATTTTTTATAACTTATGCCAGATAATGTTTTTTTTATTACAATCATTCCTATGGTTACAAAATATAGTCTATTACAAAATATATTTGTTAATTTCGCATTTCAAATGAACTTATGACAGCTAAATATAATGACTATTACTATTCTATAATGCAAGTATAATTTAAATGTATTATTATAAGTACAAAAATAACTTGATAAGCGAACATAAATTACATCATACATGCTGTAATATCGTAAAAGAATTGTTCGCTTATCGTTCAATAAAAACAAAACTTTCCCGGTTTAATTGAACGCGTTTATTCTTTTAAACTTTGCATTAACGTGAAAATATTTTATAAATATTGATGAGATATATGGGCAAAATGAATCATTAACTGCCAGCATAAATAATATTTAATTTAAAACTGTTTTAGTTAAAATCATGTGCAAGAATTTTTCGCTTTTAAAAGTAAGTAACACGTGATATGTATCCAGAACAATTACGTTGTTATGTGATTGTTGTATGACGTTAATATAAATAATACTTAATGATGACGCTTATTTCGATACAAAAATTTTCTTTTCGTTGACTGAAAGTATTGCAGTGAGTTTTCTGAATACATGGCATTTTTCTTCTTTTTTTTCTTTAATGTCTTTTAGATATTGTCCGTTCTTAGAACTAAAGTGACACTATGTAATTGTTTTTCATGATTATTATTTCTTTGACATGAAATCTAATTTTTGTAATTGTTATTATTAATTTCCTGAACAGGCTGTTCGTTGGATTTCAAAGTTATCTTAAATCTTGGAAGAAATACCATTTTTAGAACTGAATTTCATTTTCATTGCAAGTGGTCGTGATTCTAGGTTGAAGTACGATTTCATAGAAAGTGATCTTTGGCCCCGAAATCTATCGATCCCATCAAGTGGTCGTGATCCTTGAAAAATTTCTATCGATCCTTGGAAGAAGTTTGAAGAAGTTCAACCCTGTCAATGAGTCGTGGCCCATAGAAGAAATCCTTCGATCCCATCAAGTGGTCGTGATTCTTGAATAATTTCTATCGATCCTTGAAGAAGTTCGTTTCCGTCAAAACGTCGTAGCCCTTGGAAGAAATCCTTCGATCCCATCAAGTGGTCGTGATTCTTGAATAATTTCTATTGGTCCTTGAAGAAGTTCGATTCCATCAAAACGTTGTAGCCCTTGGAAGATATCCACCGATCCCATCAAGTGGTCGTGATCTTTGGAAGAAGTTCAACCCTGAAGTTCAACACTGTCAAGGAGCCGTGGCCCATGGAAGAAATCCATCGATCCCATCAAATGGTCGTGATTCTTGGTAGAAGTCCGATCCAGTTGAAAGAGGTTACTTGAGAAGAACTTGTTCCTTGGAAGAAGATCAATCCATTAAGAGGTCGTGGCCCTTGGAAGAATCCAATCGATCCCATAAAGTGGTCTTGATTCTTGGAAGGTCCCATCAAGTGTCGTGATTCACGGTTGGAGTTCAGTCCCGTCATTTGGTTATAATTTTTTTTTTTTTTAAAAAAAAAAAAAAGCGTTTCTAACAAAATTCACCTCTTTTACGTTGTTTAAATGTTTTATATGGCCTTTCTTCCGAGGTTTCTGCCAGCGATGTTCATGCGTTGAAATAAACTTCCTTTTGTTCATATCCTCTTGGTATGTTTAATAATTTATATGGTTTTCTTATTCTTCTAAACTCTTTTTAATATAATTATTTCTTTGTTTTCAGAATAATTTTATACATATTTATCCTTAACTCAAAAATTTAAAATTTTACAAATTCTTTTATGTTATCTTTAACGTTTTAGATGGATTCCTTCAGTTTGAAAGCGAACTGATTGATCCAATTTAGGGGATAGTTAAAGAATAATTTTCTTCCAGCTGAGCAAAAGTGCTGAAAATTATTCTTTGATCTCTTTTCAGTTTTGAGGCAAATGTTTGAGGTTATTGGAAATTGATCTTAATTTTTGGGTTGCGATTGGTATTGACGTCCTCGTCGTGCATCCTGGGTATTAGTATTATACTAATAGCGAACAAATACCAAATCTCTTTGGCATGTATCTTTATAGAATATGGCACGATTTTTATCAAAATTATTAAAATTGAGATTCAAAAAATAAAAAATGTCTTTATCATTCAATTATAGTTTTGTATGTGTGTTGTGTCATCTGGCCGATGGGCAAAAGTGATATTAAATTATTTAGCACAACTAATCATTTCATTAAATCTCTGATTTTTTTTATTATAATTTATTATTACTATTTAAGCCAATCATAAAATATCCTCAAAAAAAAACTTTAAATTTTTAATAGTTCTGATTTTTTCACATCAATTAACCTAGAATGTAAAGAACCGATTCTCGAAATCAATTTCATTTAAGTTGTTCAAATTTTTCAGAGACCAATTACAAGTTGGTTAAATTTAAATAGTCATATCTGCAAAAATAAATTATTTACATTTTCGTTATTTTTCTGCAGTTACTGCACCATTCGTAAATACGATAACAATGGATCGAAGATTTTGCCATAAAGAATATTATTGAATTAACATTTGGAAGTCATCTTATGGAGGCTTTCAACGGTGTAAAAAAATATTCAACAATCTCCATCATTAAAGATGAACAAGAGTTCAATAGATTTGCGTTAAGCGTGGTGGATTTTACGATCGGGTTAGAATTTTTATTTCAATTTATGGGTTATTAGAAATATATTATTGAGAAATAAACAACAAAAGATTTTACGAAATTGTGACTATTTATATGAGAAGATTCTCTTGATAATTGATTATAGGAAGCGTGATTTTGAGAATGGTAAAAAGATGAATTTAAGCATGATTTTTTTTATCTATCCTTGTTAATTACTATCAAATTGTTAAGGAGAAAGGCCAAGATGATTCAAATTGTTAACAAGAGAAGAAGTTAAGGATTTGTTGCTTGAATCCGCAAGTGGTAGAATTGACACTGTAAGTTTATTTGATTTGATTTTTTTTTTAAAAAAAAGGAATTTTTATTCTTATGTGTCATTTTTAAATCTATACAGACTGCAAATATATTCTGTTTCGTCATATATCTACTCGCAAAATATCCCCACTTTTTAATTTAAAATATTGTGAAGCAATTATCAAAGAAGCTTCCCGATTCACGACAACAATTCCAATTCTCGACCATTGTAGCAAACGAGGATGGGTATGGTAGCGAATCATGTCTAGAAATCTGGTACAAAATTCTATATCAATGCACAAGGTATTCATCATTCTTCAAAATATGAAAATCCAAAAGAATTTAACCCTGATAGATTTATGGATATTATGGATGATGAGATGCTTTGTTAATGTTTGGATCAGATTTGAGAATCTGCTCCGGTAGAAAAATTGCCATTGTTGTACAAAATGTTGATCTACGGCAAATATGATTTGTTATTATGATCCGTTAGAAATTGATTTTTCTGGAATTATTGAGATGTACTAAATTAAATATTATCGTGAAACCTAGACGATACGATATTATATAAAATACATAACATTTTTTTTAAAGAAAATAAAAAGATTCGATTTCATATATTTCATTCATTATCAATTTTAAAAAAATGGCATTTTTATTTTTAATTAACGATAATTTATACTATTTTATAATTCTTATTTTTCAGAAAAAAAAAGGTAGTTTATTCATTTAAATAAATGAAATTTAACTCAGAAAATAAAAAATGTAACATCCTTTGATTTTGTATGTTTTATTATGATTCTTTTCGAAAAAAATTACATACTGTACATATATATAACTTTAAATTTCTATAATTCAGAATTTCTTATATAGTTTTATGAAAGTTTTCCTTTTTTTATTTTGAACTTAATAAATAAGTTGGTTATATACAAAAAAAAATGAAAATTCGGTTTTACAAAAATCAAAATTCGCTTCGCCATGTAATGTTAATTCTTTTTTAGAAATTTAACAAATTGTGAATTTATAATGATATTTTGTTGTTCATTTATCACTTTGAAATGTTCGCAACTTGATTTAATTTTCAAAGAAATATAACAGCCCAATTTTTAACGATTTTCTAAAAAAAAAAAAAATATGGTTAATATTAATACAATGATAACGATAAATGAAGTAAATACTTTATTAAAAAGAAGTTGGCAAAATAAGAACATTCTGAAATGTAAATATATATCTTTTTTAAGATCATACATTTAGACTTCAAAGAAAATATTATAGAAGCAACGCTTTTAAATAATAATTTGCCATTAATATTTATTATTGATAATATAAATTGAGCTAAACTTTACGGATATAAATGTAATTTATTAAATATATAGTTAACTATTGTTTTATAAATAAATCTTTTTAAAAACAAATTATCAAGGATATCATTGAATTTTTTTTTTTTAAGAACACATAATTAGATAGCAAGGTTGATTGAATCTTCGAAACTTTACTAAAAAGAAAAGAGTATTTGAAGTAATATCTAGGGAATAACATTATTACCTTAATGATGCTTTGATAATCAGAAACCCGTGGTTTTGTCATTGTTTTTTGAATGATTTTCTTTATTTGTTCGAAAGAATTTTTTTCATCATGAAATAAAAATTTTTCAAGAGAATAATGATCAAATCATTTTATATAATAAAAAGGTAACAAAAAACTAGTTATTAATTTAGCAAGTTTGCATCTCGTTGTAATTTTACTAATTTTTGAGATAAATTAAATCATTGTTGATTAATTGATTAAAAGAAAATTGTTTGAAATCCAGATTAAAAAGTTATTAATTCTTGCATATGAAATTTGATAATTTTCCTGTTTCATCAACCTCTATATACTCACCTTTTATATTCACACTTTCTTATAGTCAAAATTGCTTATATTTTACATGATTTTACACATCAGAACTTAAGTCAACACCTTGCAGAAATTAAAATCACGTGAAAAACTATTACTAATATAACGATAAAATCACAACTCGAATAATGAGTCTTTTGATGTAATTGTGAGTCACATTCAAATAAGGAAATGTATTGTATCAGCAGAACACATTTTAAATAGTAATAAAAGTATAAAAGTTTTGAGTTCTTTCCAATCGACAAAGTTACTAAAAACAGCATGATCTTCATGACTACGCTATTATTTGTTCGTATACGTATTTTATACTCATCTTCCTAAGAAAAATTTTCACATAATATATACTTTTAAAAAATAAAACTTTTCATTAAATGAAACATCATCAACTCTATCTTCAAAATTTTTCTTTTAGCATAACCATCAAAAGCGGAACAAACATATCATAACTCTTGTTTACACTTGAACGAACAAAAATATATTCTGCTAGTATTTTAATACATTAAACCGCTTTTCTAACCATGACACGATGACAATATTTACAAATATTGCTAAAGAAATATTTACACAGTTCTTTTTATTTACACCTTGAAATTTATTACTTTATAACAGGTTCTACATTTCGCTACGATAGATACTTGTCAAAGATACATATTTAACGTCTTACCATATCATGTCCTAAAGAGCAACTTCATTAAAATAAGGCAAGTTTTATTGAGTTTTAGAAGAAAATTTGGTGTAAAAAAGTTATCCTGCGTTCTAACGAGAGTATGTTTGCATTTAAAACTCCCAAATTTCAGCCATGTCATTCATGTACAAAAAGAAAACTTCTGAAAATAAGGCAAGTTTTATTGAGTTTTACTTGTTTAGGCGAAGCTTTGGCATAAAGTTAATCCTGTATTCTGACGAAGTTATGTTTATATTCTGAAAAATTCCAGATTCCAAAAATATCAATTCCTAAGAGAATTACTGAAAATGTATTTTGTGATATGATCACTTGTCAGAAGTATTCTCACAAAGAGATTTTCATATTAACTGTCAAGTAAGTTTCATACCCATGCTTTACACTTAATGCGTCAATTGTTCAAGTGCATTCTTGGATTAATACCCATGTGTAATCGGGTATCATTAGAGTATCTCATGAACCTGTTTAGAATACATGCGTCACTGTATTACTTCAATAAAAAATTCTTTTTAATTTTTTAGATCTTGGATTCCTATAGCAAGTACTCATTTCGGTATGAGAAGCACTCTACTTGGAGATTTCTATAACAAATCATTTTTATTGCCAGTAAGTTTCATACCCATGCTTTACACTTAATGCGTCAATTGTTCAAGTGCATTCTTGGATTAATACCCATGTGTAATCGGGTATCATTAGAGTATCTCATGAACCTGTTTAGAATACATGCGTCACTGTATTACTTCAATAAAAAAATTTTTTAATTTTTTAGATCTTGGATTCCTACAGCAAGTATTCATTTAGGTATGATCACTTGCGAAAATACATTCTACTTGGAGATTTCCATTTTTATTACCAAGTGAGTTTCATACCATGTTTACACAATTGTTCAAGGAAATTCTTGGATTAATACCCATGTGTAATCGGGTATCTCATGAACCTGTTTATAATACATGCGACATTGAATTACTTAGAGTTTCAGGTTTCTCTAACCAATAAAAATTTTTTATTTTAGGTGGATTTTTTTCATTATTGGTTGTAGGTTTCTCATTGACCATTCAATATGTCACAACATCAATAAAAAAAGATATTACAATTGTTAAATAATAAATATTTTATATTTATTAGATTTTTTGTATTTTTCAATTTTTGTATATTAGATGAAATTATGAATCTCTCAACGTTTTAATTCCAAATATCATAATAAAAATAATGTAAAGATTTTGAAATAAAAACAATAAATTATTTATTAATGAAGAATGTTCAGCTTTCCATCGGTATGGTTAATAATTTACATATTTCGCATTATTTGCGCAAAGTTCAATTATCATATTAAAGTTTGCATTTTGTCAAAGAAACGTGGCGCAACAATAAGAATTAATTTGTTAGCATTAACAGGCTAAACATTGAGACTTATATAAATCATCATCCTTTACAAATTTACCTATAATTATTAAATTCCTACTTTACATTTACGTAATCGTGACAATGTGCCCTAATATTCCATAAAGCTTTCAAATTTCAATAAGATAATTATAACTTTGATTTTATTCAGATATTATTAAATATTGTAATTTGTGTTTATCATAAATGACATTTAAAGTTTAATTGAACTGATTACGCAATCAATCAATCACTTAATGCTAAACGGAGGACTAAGACCCCCGCAAACCGCAAACTCCAGTTGGTCTTTATTAGCATTATTATTACATTATTACATTGATATTTGAGATTTGAATACAACTGGACTACTAAAAATTTGAAACTCTGAATATTTTTTAAATGAGAAATAAATATATGGTATGATATGCATTAACAAATATTTTTTACAATTCGCTATTATGAATAAAATGATGGCAATATTGCTTGTGCTGCTCTGCATTCAAAGTTTCTGCAAAATTTTTCATATCCTTTACATCAGACATTTGAGAGCAGATCTTTATAAAGTGGCACATTTGAATTATTATAAGTCTCATATCCAGTCCTACGATTCCAAACATTAATTGAATCTCGTCTTTGAATTGCGTCGTCAATATCCTGACCATACAGATAACGTAACAAGATACGCATAGAGTTAGGTTGAATATTTTGAATATTTCGAATAAAGATCGGATTATTCGGATTTGCTGTAAGTTCTCTGAAGGGCTCTCGAGCTTGAAGCAAGTATAAATCGACTTTGCTTTTATTTTCTCACCATACACAATATAAGTAAAGTCGTTCGAGGGAGATCTTTGATCTAATAGAAATACAAATGCTCTTTTTCTGTTAATACTTGATTGATAATACTTGATTGATCATGTTGCTTAACTCGTATTTCATAATTAGTGTTTTATTTCTCTGACACCAGCACCTCTGAGCATATTAGGATACCTGGCAAGCATTGGATTCACATATTGGCCTTCACCCGGCTCACGGTTTAAAATTAAATATTTAGCAGTAACTCAATTATCGCGGTTAAACGGATTTTGATCTATGGTAAAGTTAAGGAATAAAGAATCATTAAACGAATGTACTTGGACAAGTCGATACCCTCATGCGAGTTTTCATAATCGAGCCATTTATAAACCACAAAAACGTCATGCTTGAATCTATCGGCCTAAATATTCCTCAATTCATCATCATCATTCCGGAGGTCATTATAAAAGAAACGGAGATGTTTGACTATGTTGGAAACATTTGGTTTTCCGAATGATGAATGTTTTTGGAGTAATTGTGGAGGCGGTATGATATCTTCTGCAATCAAGTACTTTTTACTCCACGCGTCATCTCTATACTTGGGAAGGATTATCACATTCAAACAACCAAAAACTCTTGAGTGTCGTGAGTGTGATTATGGTGTTTGTCGTAAGGTTCGCACAAACTTTTAGCAACCGGAAAGATTGGTACTCTTCTGATGTTTTCCAAGTTAAAATTTTATAGAGATTATCAACCAATGTAGCCTCGATAGCGTATGTCAGATGGAGGTTCCGGCTCATTTTGTAATTCCTCAATCATCATATCAGCGCACTTATTAATGCTATTTCATTGACTTTATTAATTGACTTTATTATTGAATACGATACTTGAAAAACTCTCGGCGTGTTCTAATATACCGGAATGAAGGAAGACGTCCGTGTTTCTGTTTCCACCTAACAAAACTGAATTGTTGGGGTCGAATAAATCTGTAATCTTCTTTAAAATCCTCGCATTTGAATTGGAAAAATAGCGCTTCCTTGAACGAAATCATCATAATTAAGTACGCTATTTAGGAAGCGAACGTAAGAGGCATTGGATGCTCTAGGGAATTCAACATCCTGAAAGACATAAGAATTGATGTTTCTCAATGGGACATTAAGTTTGGTAAAAAATTGACGATAACCACAAAAATAAAATTTTGAACTTCTTGTTTGATACCAACAAACGGAAATTGGCAATAAATATCCGAACGAAGCGGTTTTAAAAGCATCTCCGAATTTGAATTCGAATATACTGGACAAATAGGAAATAAGTGAACTAATGATTCTAGCTCATAATCCGATTTCACTATATACAAAATAGAAAAGAATAAGTTCTTAAAACATTGATTTTAATAACGATGTTAAATAAAGAGGTATTTCCATTTACCAATAATCAATTAGTAAGCTGCGTAGCTCATAAATACGTTGTCTTGACAAATACTCGAAGAAATTATTCACATGGTCATTTACGTCTTCTTCTGAGCTATCATTAAACAAGACAGTTTCGGTTTGTAACATATATTTCAGTATTTGAAACCGTATTAAATTGCGTACTTTTGATGTCTTTGGGATGGAAATACTAGAACTTTGAGACAGAATCCGTAATGTTTAACCTGATGGTTTCTTTTTTTGGAGTTTGCAATGAAGTTTTGGCAAGAAATCAAGCAAAATATGCCTGATCAAACTGAGTTTCAGTTGATCTAAATCCGGCATTTTATTGTTTTCAATCAGTCAGCATTGCACGGTTGGGCCCAGATCCGTTAAGATGAACTGGCAAATTGGTGGAGGTATCAGATAATAAAATAAAGAGTACATCTTGCCTTCGAATTTTCAAGTGGTCTTGCAACGCCATCTAATACGCGTAATCGAAATCGTTGCGCGTATTGTTGTAATTGAGAATCTTCAGGATCTTGTTGAGCACCAATAGCGAAAATCCAATTTTTGTTTCTTCGAATATCGAAACAATTGAAATTTCTCACATATCTGAAACTACAGTTCCTCTTCAAATAAAATCTCTATGTATAGTGACGATGGAGGGATTGGATGAAACGTAAAAAATAAAAGAAGATGTGAACATGTTATCAACGGTGAATTTCCAGTTTTTCAGATAAAAACTAAACTAATTGATTATGAGAAATTAAACAACATAAAATACAATAGTTGGAAGAGGATAGTTGATTTAAGATTGAAGAACAATTCAAGAATCTCAGTTATCGAGAAAGTTCTGTCGGATATTTTACTTGCTTCCCTTTGAAATGGGATTCGAAAGAGTGTTTCCTCAAAATTCGAACGATAATTGATGCCCTCGATGCCTTCAAAAGGGGCCAAATGGTCCTTTTCAGAAAGCCTCTCAATGCCATTTGTTGGAAAAAGGCCTATTATTCCACGTTGTCTCAAGAATTTCTCTTGAGGATCCAAAAACGCAATAGAATCTCCGCTAATGAAACTCGGAACATCGTAAAATGAAAAAAACGCATTGAAACCTAATCCATGCTTCCCAATCGTCTTGTTTTCCACCAACGCGTAACTGCATGAGCGATTCAAAATCTGGTTCCTCAAATTTGATTATTAAATATTAAGATTGCGGGACCCTGCCAGACCTTCATTTCATTGTTAAATAGAGAGTTGGAGGGATGTGAACGGATGTCGATGATTATATGAAACTGATTAGCTCCGGCGTCATCAAGCAAGCATTATGGCACCGAAATTAAAAAAATGATTTTCGTTCAACGTCTTACCATTTTGAAGAATTCTCTAAATATGCTTTCGAAGGAATAATCCTTACTACATAATAAATTTATTTGTGTTAAAAATATTAAGATCTTAAAAGATAATGAATCTTTAAAATATTATCTTGGGTTAGTTAATTAACTTATAATAGACTTTCTGTTTAAATAAAATGATTTCAAACAAAGGAACCTATAATCTGGATCTTTAAATTCTTCGATCTAAACAAAGTCTCACGATGATCCTGAGTAGTATTCTTGTTCCTCATATTTTGGTCTTTCCATCGTTAGCTCTATTGAAAAAGGATAAATAATTAAACGATTGTGAGTAACAGAAACAAAATCATAGTTATGTGCAAACTCCGTATAGGGCCATTAAACACTCAGTAATAGAGAACAGAGCATTAGCGTCCTTGCTATTAGAGAACTAACGTATTGACTATTCAGCCTTTCCTATCACCAACTTTTAGTTAATGACGTATATGGCGTAATGGATATTCTTCTACTACTATCATGAACGTAAAACGTTAAGCATAAAACTAATTTTTACTTCGACTGCTAAGAAAGAACATAACCGATCCTCATACAGAAACAGTAGACCAAACAGTCACAACCTACTCAAAATTACCTGGTATTAGATATAGTAAGTCGTCGAAAGATAAAATAAATAAAAAAGTAAAGTTCAAAGAAATAAAAAAAGACGAGAAAATTCTAGAGTATAAGGATTAAAAGAAAGAATTACTTGAAAAATAGTAGAATTAAAAACGGCTCTAAAAACCTTTCACTTTGTATTTTTAAAAAGAATTTGCATCAGTGGAAATTGAGGAGTTTATATAATCACATAAACGATCTACGAATTGCGTCATGTCGCGTATTAGTTTTTAAGCTTTTTTAAATGATGACATCATGATCATCAATTAATTTTTTCTGAAAACGAATATGGAAATTGTACTTGAGAAATCTATAAAAGAAAAAGTAATAAAATAAATTTACTACTAAATACAAAAAAAATAAAAAACAATAATATACCTAGACCTGTGTGGTGTTGTTGCAAATTTTACAAATATAACCTTTTTTTCGAAACTTATGCTATGCATACACATCAGTCCACAAATATCACACACACGAATTTTATAAGCATCTGCGACATCATTAAGTCATTCCTATAATAAACATTTTTTTTTTTAAAAAATGAAAATATCGTAAGAAGCAATAAATCTAAAAGATATTTGAAATTCATATAATACCAAAAATAAGGCTGTTCCGTGAGAAATCATACAATATCGTTCCATTTCACCAAATCTTAATCCTCCTTCACGACTATGTCCCTCAACTGGTTGTCTGGTTAATATATTAACTGGACCTCTTCCGTGTGAACTATATAGATTCAATTTATATTTAGTGCAATTCTAAATTAATTAATTGTATACTATATGGAAAAGACTTACTGAATTTTATTTTGAACCATATGTTTTAACTGTTGATAATAACATGTGGATTATGATAATATCTGGTGTAATACCGTCAGCAGTGAATGACATATACTCTTGACGATAATTGATTCCATTGGTTCATTTTTGACTATGATGACTTGCGAATTTATTTCCAATTCAGGAATTCACGTATTTCTAACTCCAACTTTCATCAATTTAGCTTCGTCTTGGTTTGTGGTAACAAGTACTTGATCAATGAATCCATGTTAAGTAGATCTTAATGTTGTAGAATCATCTCTATATACATAAGATTCTTTTCGTTAGCCAAGCAGTCAAGCAATCAACTATACATAGCGAGAATTTGGATAAGATTGCTTGGGCTCATCCATGTAAGCTCTATGTATTTGCATGTTTTAGTTGATAGATTTTGTATATATCTGCATGTTAAATAATTCTGATAATATCAAACTAGTATAATATCACCAAAAGTATCTACCAGTATCAGCAACTTTAATGCTAATCAAGTCTTCAAAGTGACGGATCACTACATGTTAAAACTAATCTATTTTTAAATAGAGGCAGAAGCTTATGTTAATCCATTTGACTGAAAATTCGCATTATATTAAATCTTAAAACTTATCTATAGCTAATAGGATGTAAGATAAATCTTTATACATCTATCATTCATGTATTATTCCTGTATTTCAAGTATATGATAATAATGTATAGTTTACCATTAATATAATAAAGTAGTCATTCTACAGACCCTGCCAAAAATCTCTGAACACCATTTTTTAGGTGTGATTTTATACGGATAATGTTATATGACTTTATAATACTGCAGTCATATGATATTTTGGACTTTGTTTATATAAATCAAACCTAATAAATGTGCATTTAGTTTGTTTATTTTGACTTTAAATCAAAATAAACTTTAATCTTCTGAAAATAACAAAATGACCCAAGAATTAACAGCAGAACAACACAGTACTATATTTTTTTGCTGTTAATATAGCGATAGTTACCAAACTATTTTTGAGACCGTCGATTGTGAAGTGTCAACAGTATTTAATACTTTAAAAGAATAAATGATACTAGAACTACTAATTCGAAGCCTCGTTCTAGTCAATCACCTCTTATTGAACCTTCACAATGAAACTGACTCAAGCGACTTATAACCAATAATAAAGGAAAAAATCATCACTTATGCACTGCAAAAGTTCAATAACTTTGAAAAAAAAAGACCAGCCAAGATGTTTCAGCTCGCACTATTGGCTAGACACTTTATGCAGTTAGGCTAAACAATTGTCTTACTTGATGAAAACCTCTAATCTCACCAGCAAATATGAAGGCACGTCTTGCATAATGTTTGGATCACTAAAGCTAGAAAAAGAATAATTGGTCAAAAGTCATGTGGAGTGATGAATTGACCTTTTCTCAATTCCAACAAAGCTGATATAGTCGAGTGTGATGGAAATCTCAGGAAAAGTGGAACATTTCTTGTGTTTCTGCTACAGTGAAATACAGCCTATGAGGCGTGCATTTTCAAATGGTAATGGTATATTCTAGGAGGATAATGCTCGCCTCTATAAAATGAAACTTGCAAAGAAATTTCATGTAAAAAATGATCTACGCGTACTTTCATGGTCAGCTCAAAGTCCAGACCTTAATCCAATTGAGAATCTGTAGGTCAATGTTAAGAAAAGCATTCGTAAAAGAAAAAAAAGCCTTCAAATCTTGCTGAACTCAACTGATACGTTAAGAAGGCATGGCAAAAAATTCCTATACATACTATTGAAAATTTGGTTGATAATATGCTATAGCGAATTTGGTCTGTAGTTGAAGCAAATGATGACCTGACCAAGTACTAATTACTTAGTACAAAATGTATAGCATATCATATATTAATAAATATATTAATAAACTTTTTTTCAATAAACTTTAAAATTTTGAGTTTTATATTGAGCTAAAAGGTGTTTAAAGACTTCTAGCGAGGGTCTGTATATTTCAAATTTATTACAGTATAGCAAGTTAGTGAAGAATTTGAAGAATTTGATTAGTTATTTCATTATAAGAAGAAAAATTGACATGTTTAATTGGTAAAGTATCATAAAATTCATTATATCAAAATTTATTATATTAAAGGTAGATAGTATATCCATTCTATAAATAATAATCAAATGATTTAAAATTTTAATCATATATATATACAATAAAGGCATTCTAATAAATCTAAAATCATTAAAAACATATCAATAGATTCTGAGAAATTTTCATTTCTTTTTTTATTTCTTTTTTTATTTTTATTTTTTATTTTTTGATAAATAATATGAAAAACATAATATTTATTAATTTTTATAATTTTCTTTACTTTTACTTAATTAAGTAAATTTTTATTATTTATTTAATGATTATTATAAAAAATATATATTTAATATATATTTCAAAAGTTAATCTTTCTATTTTTGATAAATTCATATAGATTAATTTGATTCTTTAGCTAATTAAAACTAATTTTCCAATTAATTTGTTTATAATAATTATTAAATATAATATATTTTAGTAAATTTTACTATATTTAATAATTAATATAAATAAATTAATTAGTAGAATTAGATTTTGATTAGTTAAAGAGTTAAATTAATCTATATAAGAGACAGTCAATAAAAGAGAAAAATGAACAAAACTAGCTTAATAATAATTAAAATTACTCAAAATTTGATCATCTTCCATATATTTATAATAATCAATTTTGTATTAATAAAAATAAGGTAATACTAATTTTAGTAGCTTTTGTTACTTTATATAGAAAGCAAATCATATATTATTACACAAATTTTTAAAAAAAAACTCATATAATCTATTGCATAATCATAATAAATTTTCTTAAAAAGCATTTTTTTGAATATATAAGCAATATTACATTATTTAATCATTATTATTTGTCTAAAGCATAGCTGAAATATCTTCAGTTAAACTTATTTTGATATTAATATTTACTTATTTGCATAAACTCCTGATTGTGATTAAAATCTTATCGTAATAATTAATGTAATATTTACTAAATTTATTAGTATTAAAATGGTTAAAGTATACATAATTACACTTATATTACTTAGGAGAATCATTTCTAAAATATATAATACAGTTAACTTAATGTAATATCTTTATAATCAGAGACCTTATTTATATGCATAATCAACTAATAAGATATATTATTATATTATTATATGATTTGATTTTCAGATGTAATTACTTTTAAATTAAATAATAAAAATTAAGAGTTTTTTTTTTATAATAAATTAAATATCATAAATTAAAATTTTAGATATTATAATAGTTTCTATTATTTAGTTTATATAGGTATTCTAAACATTACCATTATATATTATTACAAAATTCAATCAATAAAAATAAATAAAATAAAAGTTAAAACATAATATTTCTAATTATTTATTAAGGTTATCAAGTTTACATTCATTTAAGAAGATCTAGAAATTCTGAGAGAAGTACTTACTCTATCATCAGAACCTTTTTAATAAAACTGCTAAAAAATATCTAACTGAGTTTAATGTTTAATACTATTTTTGTAAATGATTATAGAAGGTTTTCTTATAGACAAGACAAGTTCTCTCAGAAATATTATTTAAATCTTAACTTTAGAATATAAACAATCAACTATACATGGTAGAAATGTAAATAAGGTTGCTTTATTATTTATGTAAACTATAAGTATTTGCATAATATAATTAATAGATTTTACATATAATTTTAATATATTAAATTAATTTTAATTATAACAAATTAGTATAATGTCACTAGAGTATTTGGTAATTTTAATCCTTCAAGATGAAAATTCACATTATATTATTAAATAGAAATATTTTAAGATTAATATCATGTAATTCATATATACAATTTTTTATACTATTTCATATTTTAATAATTATAAATTCTATTTGCTTGTAATTGATAGAAATATAGAGTTATCATTAATTCTTTTACTGAAATAGTTGCTAAACTTTTATTCTTATAAAAGCTAACTCAAGAGAAAATAAAAAGCTAGTCAGAATGATTGTTAGCTCTTATTTACACACTTTTTTAAGCATGTAAAATGTTAAATTAGCTAAATGATAAATATTTATTTAATTAGAATCTAAGGTTTTATAGTAGTAAAAGAATTGTCTTACCTAAATAATTTGCAAATTGTGATTATATCTTGCATTTTTTCTGAAATATAAGATAATTATAATCTATTTATATATACAGTAGCAGTCATAAGTATCTGACCGTCTGAGATCATCCAAAATTATTATATAACTACCCCTTAAATTTTTCAGAAATATAATGTAACACAATATATAATCACCTGTAAATTTATAAGTACCAATGATATAAAAAAAAAATTTAAATGATCATCAAACTTTTACTTGAAAAATAGAACTTTCTTTAGAGAAACAATATGAAATTATCTTTTTAAGTGAACACTCAGCTGGTTCAAAGTTTAGTTTTAGATTTATTGCTAAACAGGTATGTTGTAGTAAGTTTACAACTATTTATTGGGTTAAAAGATATCATGAAAATTAGGACCTAAGTACTTCAGAAAGACTGGGGTGACCTTGTATAATATTTGTAAAACAAAATGACAAGATTGTAAAGATGGCAGAGAAAGAACATAATATAACAGCTATTCAAATACAAGAAAAAATAGAAGAAAAAGATGTTGGATTTAGTGTAGAAATAGTAAGGTGACGTCTTCGTAAGTCTGAAGGAAAGTTTAATAATGAAATTTCTAAACATTTGCTTAAAGAAGACCATTGAAAAAAAAGGTTGCAATAGGCAAAAAAACATAAGAATTTTGATTGGAATTGAGTTGTTTTTACAGATAAGAGTACATTTCAATTATATACATCAAAAAAAAGGTTTGGCAGTTTCCTGGTAGAAAAAAAGTATTTTGTTCTATTAAGTATCTACCAAAAGTTCATATTTGGAGATGTTTTTCTGCTTCTGGATTTAGTAAACTATTTTGCTTTCAGAGGAATCTTAATGTTGAATTTATGTGTACTATTTATGAATAGGGTCTTCTGACTTTCACCTCTAAACTTTTTGGTGAAGGTAACATAGATTGGATCTTGCAAGAAG